CTCCACACTGGTAGCAAGCTTTTGAATCATGCTAGTCAAAGCATCTACCCTCGCAGAAAGGGCAGAATTATCACTGATCTCATACAACCCCGGGGTCTTCTGGTGAGGTGTGTCCCGAGAGCTGAACCATGAAGCATTATTAGAAACAATCTTCTCCACTAATTCTTCCGCCACCTCAGATGGTAATTGAGGAAAAGCTCCTCCACCCGAAGCATCAAGCATCATCTTCCCTTCATCGCAAATTCCGCTATAGAAGCAAAAAAGAATCTCACTATTGGTCATCTTGCCTTGAGGACAAGCTCTTCTTAGCACTTTAAATCTCTTCCACGCCTCAGCCAATGTTTCCAACGAACCTTGCTTGAAATCTTGCAGCTGCTTCTTCAGCTTTATGGCCTTTGATGTTGGGAAGTATTCTTTTATGAAGGCCTTGTGCAGCTGATCCCAAGTCTGAATGTGGTGATGTGGATTGCTATCCAACCACCTCTGCGCGTCATCCCTCAATGAGAAAGGGAATAATAGCATCCGTACCTGATCGTCATCTAGCCCAGGAATCTTGAAAGTTTGGCACATCCTCAGGAATTTTGTAATGTGTGCCACTGGATCTTCTGTAGGGCTCCCTCCAAACTGATCATTGGACACCATGTTAATCACTGCTGGGTTGATCTCATAGCGGGGTGCAGTAATTCCGTGCACTTGAATGCTGTCATACTCTGTGATGTCCGGAGTAAGGAAATCTGCAATGCTTTCTCCCTGATAGAGCGGATTGTTAAATGGGACATGATGTTGGAATAGAGGAGCTTGATATCTCGGCTGATGAACTGGTTGTGGTCTTATGGGTTGTGGACGGATGATATTTGGCTGAGGTTGGGTTTGATGGAATTGTTGATATTGGGGTTGGAAGGGCTGATTTTGTGGCTGAGTAGGGGGTGGATTTTGTGTGACTGGCGGTTGGTTCTGTCTAGGCTGAAAAACCGGATTATTTTGCCCTAGACCTTGCATCCCAAAGGTTTGGTTTTGAAAGGTTGGTTCGGGAGCAATAGAAGTGTTTTGAAAGAGCTGATAGAGTGGTGGAAGATTAAATTGTGGAGTGGACTGATTTTGGGGGAAGAAGGGGGTACGGAGATTTTGATACCCTGGATAAGCTCTAGGTGAATTTTCTTGTGAAGACTGGGGGGAGGTATTAACATAAAAATCCAGATTACCAGAAGTGGTTTGGACCTCAGACGTCCCAGCTATTCCAGATGCGGATGGTTGATCCATGGTGGCTTTCTGTTCTCGTAAAGCCTTGCGGTTCTGCTTAGCTAACTTCTCGATCTCAGGATTAAGAGGGGCTAGTAATTCTCCCTTCTTAGAGCGTGTATGCATAAACAGATCTGACCTGCAAGGTTAGCAGACAAAAATCCTACGAAAAACTAAAAACAAGTCGCTAAAATTAATTAACCCTCAAAACCGACACCGTCCCCGGCAACGGCGCCAAAAACTGATGTGAGTGTTTTCTCGCACTTAAAATGGTTGTAGAAAAGTGGTGTAAAGTACGAGTATCGTCTCCACAGGGACGGACAAAAGGGAAATAAAGATTAACTAAACTTAGCGATTAAAAAGAAATAAATAAAATAAAAGTGCAATTGTGCGAGATTGATTGATTGATTAAACTAAAACTAATGCTAATGAGCGAATAAAAAGATTTGGTTTTCCTTAATTAACGACGAAGGGAACAGGAATTGATTCCGGGGTTAACCAGATTTCTGGCAGAACAGGCCTAATCACATGAATTTCATTCAATTGAGCCTAGCTAATCATTACTAAGTTCTTACCGCTCTCGCGGCGTAGAGTACAATAATTTAGGGGTCCAGGCTGATCTCTCATGCGACAAGATCCTAAATTATTGCCAAAACGAGCGAGCTTATGGCCCCTTAATCGCTACTAATCTCTTAGCGAACGATTAAGTGTGTGTGAATGTGTCCTAGAACAAATTAGATCTCTCTTAATTTATTCTATAAGCAATTGTAATTCTAGTGGCCATCTAGGTTACAAGAGATATCAGTTAAATTATTCACACACAAATTAAACGGCATTCATGCAATTAAACCGAAAAGAATCTAGCCATACATCATGATTAACCCCTTCATCAACCCCAAATCCCTAATTAAACTACTCACGCCTCATAATTGACGAATCAAAAGAATTGGGATGAATAGAAATAATTGTCATTAATTAAAGAATTGAACTTACAAAGAATCCCAGGTTCTTGGATTAAACAACGTAAAAACGCAGGTAAAACTCGTCTCTAGGCCTCTCTCCAAAGTTCGTAACCCCCAAAAGTGGCTATGGAGGCCTTATTTATAGAAAACAACGAATTCGGGTCGAATTAGGATCAATCGCGGCCAGGCACGGTGCCAGGCACGACCGTGCCTGCGACCGTGCCTACGGAAGGAGGCCGAATTTCGCGTCCAGGCACGGCGTGCCTAACTGCCAGGCACGACCGTGCCTGGCCTCTAGTAGCCAATTTCCTCGAATCATGCCAGGCACGACGTGCCTAGCTGCCAGGCACGACGTGCCTAGCTGCCAGGCACGACCGTGCCTGGCCTCCAGTAGCTCCCAGGATAATTTCTCTTCAGGCACGGCGTGCCTAACTCCAGGCACGACCGTGCCTGGCCGTATTCTTCACTTTTCCTTTGTTTTCTTGCTCCAAACGCTCCCGGATGCCTACGAGGTCGATCCAAATGCTCTTTCTTCATCAGAATTTTGTTGTGAATCTCCCGGTGACCTCCAAATCTCTCAAATCTTTCTTGAACGCCTTCAAATCCTTCCCGAATGCCTCTCAAGCGCCGATTGCCGGACTCCATCTTCTTCAAATCAACTCCAATTGCAACTAAACTCGATCCAACGCCTGCTAAACACAACTTGAGCCAAAATTGAGACTTGCAACACCTTAAAGCTAGGAAAACCGTCAAAATCCAACCCGAACACGCATCAAATGCGTGTCTAAATACGGACTTATCACCCGTCCAACCCGAACCCGTCCGATGCTCTCCCCTACTTCACACCATCCTCAAGGTCAACGAGTTTACCATATAGTGTGCTCAAGGTACAATCACTTGTACCGTACAATTTACGGATGATAAGTTTGTACATATTAAAAAATAGAAAAAGATTCATAAATATAACTCTTTTAAATGTGAAGGACAAAAATATTACTACAATTGTGTTCAAAATTTACATCGTAGTAACTAAATGTAAGTTACTGTGATGTAAACTTTGAACACAATTATAATCACTAATAGTACTAAGTCACATTTTTGTACATAACATTTTTTTAAGTAATATTTAAGGAAACCCCGCAAAAAAAGAGAATATTACCTGAAATAGGACTAAAAAAGTTTGAAAATTCTAAAACAGGACTGTCATATTTTTATTCCCAAAATAAGACTAATTACTACCATGTTTTGGCAGTACCAGACTTCAAACATGACAGTATTTTCCAAACATGACAGTAATTACTCCTATTTTGGGAATAAAAAACATGTCAACCCTATTTTGAAATTTTGAAACTGTTTTAGTCATATTTCGGGAACTTTCTCCCTAAAAAATACTCTATTGTACCATGCTCAAGGTACAATTGATTGTACATATACAACCCGCTTGGTAACGCTAAATTTTGCTGAATGAATTGATTCTTATGAAATTTAATAAATTTTGACCGAAGTGACTGGATTGAGTGATTTTGCTGAATATATAAAAAAGTTATACATAAATAATATTTTATTAATAATATAAAATACTCCGTAACAATTATACGAAAATAAATAAAATAGTCATCTATCTATAATAATCTAAAGTACTATGGTGTAGCACCTTGATTTTCCCTTCAATTAGACATTTAATGCTTTTTATCCATTAAAAATAAGAGTTACATTAATAATTAGCATAAGCAATTAGCAATAGTAGTAGTAGTAAATAGTAATTATATTATGGAGTAATTGGAATGTTTTCAATTCAAAATGATAATAATGGTAATGATAATAATAATAGTAATATAATAATAGTGATACATAATTGGCGGGATTTCAGTTAACACAAAAATAAATAAATATTAGAACGTTTACAATATTTTGATTTGAGTGTTTTCAATTATATGCTAGACCAGACCAGATTAATGGAAACTACACTAAATCAGATCAAATTTAAATACAATAGACTTGATCTGAATAGATAAGTAAAATATACATACATATGACACTTACCGGACCATAAAACTCTAATTAAAAAACCGTTTTTGGTGTCTTGCATTGTATGAAGCAATAACAATGACATTTTATAGGTATAGATAATAGTAATATTAATGATAATAATAACATAATAATGATGATTTATTATCCTTCTAAACCTATTATACTATGCTCAGTAATAACAACAATAGCAACAACAACATCAACAACAACAAGAAGAACAACAATCAAGCCTTACATGGTATAAATAGCATGACATTGCAAAAACTGCTTTACAAATATGTGTAAAAATAGATTATAAACGTATCTATATGATTAAACTATGAGCTCAATATTTTACCATTTTGGTTTTCATTGTATAATAATACATGCGACTGTTTTTTATGAATATAATGATATATTTTTATATATAACTAAAATAAAAACTAAAATAATGACACATTTACTATATTAGTAAATCTTAGTCACTATAATTATGTTTGACTTTGTACTATATGAATTCATATTCATAATAAATTTAGTCATATTTATAATTTTATTCCTATAAAATTATAATAAAATTCTTCTTTTTAAGGAGGCACACCATAGTATCATAAGTGGTAACATAAGTTGTATTTATTTTTAAAATTGGCAAATTTTAGTTAGATGAATTATAATGTTTTTATAAAATGGAAAAAGAGTCAAATAGACCGTTGTTTACAATAATTTTAGCCAATCCCATACTAATTCAAATGTTACTTACGATTTGAGACGATTATTACTAATCCATCACGCCTGAGACAACATATTGAGAAATAGTTTTGTAAAAAGTCTGGAGAGAGAAAACGCGTCTCAAAAGATGGAGGGAGAGAGGGTAATTCTGCCCCTCAGGAGGTACCTAAGAAAGATGTATATCATTAGTACGAAGTATATTTTTAGCTAACGATGATCTGTGAAGTCACCTTTCGTTCCTTGCGAGATGTTTTTGTGTGTGTAGAAATTCAGGTCTTTGAATTTAGTTTTGAACGAGATGATTAGATTTAAGTTCCGAGGTTACTTGTAGCTGGTGAATTATAGGGGTTCGTTTACATGGATTGGGATGCACTGAATACTTAATTGAATATATTGAGTGCCTGGTGTAGTTCTGTTGAATTACGAGCCTCTAGTGCTACACTTGAAGTTTTTGAGTTGAGTTGACTTCGTCTTCTCTTGTAAGGCTTGTTTGATATTTGCAGGCTTGTGTCATGAACATGTCGATTTAAAATGCTAGTTGTTTGGTTATGGATTGAAAAGGTTGAGTTGACTTAATATCTTCTAGGGTTTGATTCAAGTTCGAGTCTTTTAGCTCATTTGTTGTGTTCAATATTTGTTTTTGGTTATGACTCATCTTAAAGGGTGATTACTTAGGGTCGAGGGGCTTGCTATGCTGGCCTCGTATTTTCTTGCTTACAGCTGAAACCTTTTAGTTTATTATTTTTCTTTCCCTGCTTAAATTTATGAGAATTAACTTCATGTTTGCTGTAAGATCTGGTGATATGAAATTGCTGCTATCTTAATTATTCCGCAAGTTCCATTTAGACATTTATTTTAGGTAGATACTGTCTTAATCTTTATCCATGAGCAGTTTGTTCTTGAGAAAGAATTAGTATGGCCAAATTAGTAATTTTAGGGATTATAAGTGGCAGACTGGCAGAAGATCTCTTTTGAGATTTATGGTTAGTGCCTTGCAGGGTTTGGTGGGTATAGTCCTGTATCATCTTGGTCATCTGATGAGTGGAAATAACAGGTACTCATCAAGCATATCTGCATATGATAAGATTAGTGTAAAAATGATGATTTACATTTTAAGTGATCGATGATGTATTGCAAAAGGAATGATGGTTTTCTTTGATAAAAAGGGAGTGATAACAAAAGGGAAATATGATATTTTGTTGTTTAATTGTATGATAATGTTGGTTGATTACTTTTCAACCTTTTGAAAACATGAGAATCCTAATAAAGAACCTCTATTAATTGCATTCATAGAAATGATTCAAGATATATGCACTTGGTTATTCTTAGGAATAAGAACAACACATCGTAATTTGGGTTGGCAGGTGAAGAAATTGGTGTGGGCTAGGAAAAATCATTTCAGAAAATTTCATATACAAAAAGGATCACACACGATATTTTTTTCAGAACTCGGTGTGGGCCGGTCCTGGGACGGCCCCCTACCTATGCCCTTGCATCATATGTTGCTATTAATTAAATTAGACATTCTTTCCTTTCTAGTTAATTTCTGCCTGTTTATTTGCAACTTTTTGATGTCCATTATAGATTATGGACTTTCAAGTTATTTGGAAATATGTATAATATAGGTTAAGAGTTTTCCATTGTAATATGTGAGTTAGGGAGTGTTTGTGTTTGCTTCTACTTTAAAAAAAGTGATTTTTAAAGTGATTTTGGAAAAAGTGCTTCGTAGTAAAAGTTGATAGTGTTTTAGGAAAAAAGTGATTATTATAAAAAACGTAAAGTTGGAGTGTTTGGTAAAAAAGTGATATTTGATGTTATATTTTATTTTATAAAACTACAAATACACCCTTGTCCAAACTAATTACTCCTTATATGGCATCACAAACAATTAGATACATGAGAGGCACTGGCATAGCTTTCCAATGGCGGACACTCCAAAATAATTGCCCACCAAGACGCCTCCGTGACCAGACTACATAGATACATGAGAGGCACCGGCAATCTACGCTGCCCACCATCGCTTTTCCATCTTCCTGTTTCGGATCTTTTCGTTTCAGAATATATATCGGTTGGAGTATATTAGAGGAATCCCCAACCCGAATCATGGTTTTCGGAGCTTGTTTCATAAGAGAATATATATACATATTATATATAATATGTATATATATTCAAAGAGGGGAGTGGCCATGGTGGGCGAAGCAGATTGCTAGACTTGTGGCAACGAAACAGGGAGGCATGGTATTTTGTTTTAAGCTGGAACTTTTTACCCCTATAATTTCCTTGGAGTCAAATAATTTACAAAAAAACCAAGAAGCAGTTAGAAGCACCTTTACCTCAGCTTCCATCTTTTGGCTTTAAAGTGCTTAATTTAAGCAGAAGTAGGGATTTGAAAACACTAATTTCAGCTTTTTTTAAGCCAAAAGTTGAAAAACACTTTTTTAATTTCTTGCGAACACTCCCTTAGTAAGGTAAAACAGACCATCATTGTCATCATTGCCCTAGTGCCCGCAAAGGCTCCCACCTACTGTGGGATAAGGGGGGAGGGGTTAGATGTACGCAACCTTACCCCTGTACTAAAGCACATAGACTGTTTCAAGATGACCCATGGTGAAAATTGCGTCGAAAATTGCATGGACTGATTGCTTCTTCATAATAAAGAAGCGCCGGCAGTTTAGTGAGCCATTTTGCTTTATTCCATTATTTCCATCATATTCCCTAGTGAAAAGATAGCGAGTCTTTGGCTCCATTACAAATGATGGAAGTAAGGTAAAACTGACATTAAGTTTTTTCCAGGAAAGTCCATTATGCATCTGATAGACATCTCATATCTGATTAGCTCAATAACTTAATTATTTTGATGTTTTAATGCATGATTTTCCGCATGCCAATCTTGCGTGGACAAGTGTTTGATCGATTATCCTTTTAATGGGGGAATTAATGATGAGCTGGAAAGGGGATTCTTAGCCTCTCATCCTCTGCCTTCTTTGATTACCTCTTCTTTTGTTCACTTTGTATTTTGTTTGTGCTGTTAATACATAAGGTTTTGTGACCCATTTCTCACTGTTGAACTGGTTTTTATGGCAGCCCCAAGTGACTGATCTGCTTGTGCCTAGATTTTCATTCACCTGCATATGCTTCCAGTATCATATCAAGTTCTTGAAGGACACCTGGAGTCAAGTTGGATGCCATCAGTGAAGATGAAGACAAAGTCCAGCACACCTTGTCTGAAAGAAAAAAATGGTCTTCAAATCTGCCAAAAATCAAGTGTCATATACAAGAATCCTCTCTCCCATGTTAAAGTTGGTCAAAAAGAAGTTGATTTTTTTCAAGCACAACATGATGGTAAGTGATGTAGTTATGAATGTTCATCAATATAGAAGGATAAAAAGGCAAACCGTTGTTTTAATGTCATTTCATTTTCATTTACCCCAATGCCGCAAAGGCTCCCACCTACGGTGGGGTAAGGGGGGGTTGGATGTACGCAGTCTTACCCCTGTACTAAATAATGAATCTTTGGCTCCATTGCAAATGAATGGAAAAACCGTTGTTTTAATGTAGTTTAAGAAAATAAAGAATTTGATGAGAGTTTTCTCGCACTTAAATAAATGTAGATAATGCTCACAATTCATAATTAAATGAATAATAGAATTGAGAAGGTATGAATTACATGTCATCAATTGAAAGAATGAAATAATTAATGAACTGTGGAAGTACACTGTTCCAGAGAGAAAACAATGAAAAACTCGTATGGAATTCGTTCCTAAGCATTTTCACCTAAAAAACTGGGGCCTAAGCCCTCTTTAAATAGGAAATTTCTGAGTTAGGGCCGACTTCATTCGTGCATGACGTGCGTGTGACTGTGCGCGTTAGTGCAATGTCTTTTTTTGCATTTCAAATTTGGCTATGCCTTCGTCACGACTAATGAAAGTTGTAGATTTCGAAGTCTTCTATTCAACACAACATGAATCCCTTGATTTGGGCCCGCCTATCAAAAGATATTCAACAAATAGTGAAAAGTGTTTCTCCTGAAATTTCAATAGCGACAGCCTGACTTCCTCATTTGATTTCACATTGATCTTTTCATATTTTCACCATGGTGTCTGTACAAGATTTTTAGCTTATTGAGTTATCTTTTACCTTTAAGTTGAATTATTGCATTTAAAGTTGTCTACAAAAGTACAAAACGATATGATCAAATTATGGACAGAACTTTACCTGGGTTCATGGTTGTGAGGTTGCTAATGGTCTAAATTTCCATTTTTTGTGCTCTGACTCTTCTTCTTCATCTCCAAAGTCCATCTTCAGTTATTTTTCCTAAAACTTTATGAAGTCCTTCCAAAAACACAAAGAATGGTGTAGAACATGACAAATCAATTCTCAGTAAAATAATGCAAAAACTTATGCTAGGAATGTCTAAAAATAACTTTCCATTAAACAAGTGTGTTGGAATACAAACTTTTCAGAATTCTACTTTTTTATAAATTTAAATTTAGAAATTCTTAGTAAGATAAGAATTCTTAGTAAGATAAGAATACATTCTACTTTTCGAAATAAAATTTAAATTTAGAAATTGAATGTTTTCCTATAATATTTATAGGGGAAAGGAGACCTAAATGAAACTATGAATAAGTAACTTTTACTGAAGATAATGCGGTTAGTGTTATTAATACCACTTTTGTAAAAAATATCAGTCTCATAAATAAAAAATTTACCTATCATAATCTATAGGGAAGAAAGAAAATGAGAACAAATAAGTAACTTTTTTGTATAGGAAAACAAACAAGTATCTACTTTCATAGAAATGATTTGATTTGAGATTTCATTCGTATCACTTTCTCAACACCTTCACAAATATTTATTAATATCCTGAAGCGACATCACAAACACCAACTTTCTGGAACTTTCTGCAAACACTGTGAAGTCTATTATCATTCTTGCAGGTTCATACTGCAGTGGAGTATACTCGGATGGTTTCGCAAGAGATAAAGGTCATGGTGATGTATTGCTTAATGGAGAAGATCGTCCACTTGAATGTAAACAATTACCCACAAGTGATTCCACAACTGCTGGCAGCATGGTATTTTGGTGAATTTAGTTTTGTAGCGTGTGTCTGTGTTTTAGTTTATATCATTAGTTCTTCTAGAGATCAAGATTTAGTTATTTAAATTTCACATGTTTAAAAAATTTATCATGTTCTGAACTTGTATAGGATTCTACATCGACAACCTGCACGTCAAGCTCGGAGACAATTTTTTCTCCTATTCTGGAGTCCATTGATGTCCATAGTGTGTCGAATGTCAAAAGTGACGGAGGTACATTCTCTGAAAATTTGGATCTGCTTTTTTAAAATTTGCTAAGTGAATCTTTCACTCAAATAACAATCTTGAAATATTATTAGGAGATGATAGCACTTGAGAGTGATCTGCCTTTTGTTTTCTAGTGAATAAAAATATTTGCTGACATGAATAATCATTAATAACATTATAAATGTTGTAATTTCTTTTATATATAAATGGATAACAGTATGTGTAAACTGTGAAGTATGTGTTTTCAACATTCCCCGTCACTTTTGTGTGTTGTCTACCAGTCCTTGTCAACAATTCCATTTTGTTTTGTCCAGAGCATGTAGAAGGACTGAGAAATTTTGACAATCTGATTCTATGATTCTTTAATTGGCTGTAGGAAGCAATGATCTTTATCTTCCATTGTTGGAGACAGAAGATAGTGATAGCAGTAGAAGCTCATGTGAATATAATTTGTGCAACATATCGGATTTCTACATTTCTGACATAATTGCTTCGGGCTTACCTGATGCTGATGGAATAACCTATGATGATGATTCATTAACCATGTTTTTCTCTGATTATAAATGTGAAATACCAAACATGTTTACTAACATGGCTGAGGAAGACATGGTGTTTCCTTTTCTTGAACATACTCCTGAAGCTGTTCATGGCAATGATAATAGACCACGCACCGAAAATGTTACTGGTTCTGACCAATCTAGCTTATATATGGCAATCCACCAATTAAGATCATCTGATCAGGAAACTGATGTTTTTGCACACTGTGAATCAGATCAATCTAATGTCTTTGATCCACACATGTTTATTAGACACATTCCAGATGGGACAGATGTGGTAAAGCCAGCTATATTGCCAAATACATTTGAGAGGAGAAAGCTAGTCACCCTAGTGCTAGATCTGGATGGTATGTCATGCTGTATATTTTTATCTTTTCAGGTATTCCAATTCATATTTTGCTATGTAGTCCAAGATTGGTATTGAAGTTAGGTAATCAAGTTATTTTATCCTATTCTTGTATCTTTCGTAAACATATTACCGTTATGGGGAGTTCTTCTCGTGATCAAATATAGCAAAATAAAAAATGAAATTCGGGTGAATACTAGCTTCATATTTGCAAGGTTGGGACTGCAAGACCTGCTTTTATTACATGTGAGTAGTGTTTCAACTTACAATCAACATTTTCAAAAAGTTGATTTTAAGTACTTGCTTTTCTTGTGTCCAGAAACACTTGTCCATTCTACGCTGGAAGAATGCAATGACGCGGACTTCACATTTCCAGTCTTTTTCAACATGAAAGATCACATTGTATATGTGAAACAGAGGCCACATCTTAGGTCATTTCTGGAGAGAGTTGCAGATATGTTTGAAATTGTAATATTCACAGCAAGTCAAAGCATTTATGCAAAACAGCTACTGGACATACTGGATCCTGACGGAAAATATATTTCAAGGCGAGCTTATCGTGAATCATGCATCTTTTCCGATGGTAGCTACACTAAAGACTTGACAGTGTTGGGCGTTGATCTTGCGAAAGTTGTAATAATTGATAATTCCCCACAGGTATTTATGTATCTATATTATATTTGACTTATTGGATGTTTCATTTATAGTTTTGGTTTAAAATGATGTGCTTCATTTAATTTGGTAAAAAGATTTCTCGATGGATAATTGAACTTCAGGGTTACCCCTTCTCATCCCTGCGGCATTATGGTTTGATTTGGGAACTTATATTTCATTTTTACCCCATTCCATTTATCCTTCTTGGGAGCTTGCAGGTCAAGTACACTTCTAGATTCTTGAACTGGAGCAAATTTCCAGAGATGTGTTTTAAATCTAGCTTTCCTCTTAGTGTTAGGCAAGAAATGGTACTGGGGGTCACAATTCCCCATCCTATCACAAGGTGGCCCACATGAATGTTTCTTGTACTATTATGGTGATTATGGATGTAGGGGCGTAATTTTGGAGATGTATTTTACCATCTATTAGCCTCTTTGTTTTCTGTAGCAAAATTGGAAATGCACACTTTAACTTCAGTTAACATCCGATTGAGAAGAGTATAGCCATATAACTGAAAAATACCTGTTCTTGATTTCAGGTTTTCAGGTTACAAGTGAACAATGGCATTCCTATTAAGAGTTGGTTTGATGACCCTTTTGATTCTGCACTAATTTCACTTCTGCCATTTCTTGAGACATTGGCAAATGCAGATGATGTTCGTCCTATCATTGCTGAGAAATTTGGTAACAAGGAAAAAGAGTTACGCTTGCAGATCCTTTAACAGATCCTTGTCTTTTCCGTCCTTTTAAAAACATTTAGGTGCTTATTTTTTTGTCCACTTTTAGTTTTGATATTAATTAAAAAAATCAAATAAGAATATTACCTCTTATCTGCGTTTACTTCTTTAGCTCAACTCGTTGACAAGCTTTTTGTGAGTTCATCTAATTGTTGCAGATGGTAGTTGACCATAGTTCCTTGGTCTGTGCAATGTGTACAGTTAAAGATTCTTATGAAAACAGTTATAGGTTCTCATTCCCTTACAAGTTTGTGTATATCAGTATTCTATCATTTATTATATGAAATGAATTTTGTGGCCTTCCGGAAGTTCTGCATCTGATTGATTCTTCACTTTTACACGTGTGTATATTAAGTGAGGCTTTGAATATCTAATTCTAACCTGTTGTGTACAACTTTACCTCTAACCTGGAACAAATCTTTACATCTTCATTTTCTTTGGGAAATTAAATTTGGGGGCTACATAGTTGAGATTGTTTTATGAAATTATTATATATGCGCCCCTATTTCTGAATTGAGGGTTCAGATCTGAAATCATCGATTGGTAGATTGTGGTTCTTGATTTGTCGCAGGTAATTGAATTTAGATTGTTGGCAATTTTAAAGCTTTAATAGAATTGTTTAGCATTTTCCATCATTTACAATGGAGCCAAAGATTCAATTTTTTTGGTTTGAGAATATGCTGGAATAAAGCAAAATGGCTCACTAAACTGTCTGCGCTTCTTTGTTATGAAGCAGCAGTCAGTCCATGCAATTTTGGATGCGATTTTCACTATGGGTCATCCGGAAACAGTCTCTCTGTGCTTTAGTACAGGGGTTAGTACAGGGGTAAGACTGCATACATCCGACCCCCCCTCACCCCAACGTAGGTGGGAACCTTTGCGGCACGGGGTAAATGAAAATGAAAATGAATAGAATTGTATAGCACTGAGTGGATTATTTATAGCCCCTCCTAGTTTCTGCCTCCATCGACCTGTTCCATCTCTGCTATCTATCTTGTTTAATTAATGACAGGTCATATAACAAAAGCTTGCTAAGACATTAAGATTCCTGTTTATGCTGATAACGGCAAGAAAAAGACGACCGGTTTGGGATCAATGGACCTAATAGCTATGATATTTTAGTAATAAATCTGGTGTGTCCTCTTTTGGACTTTTTACAGTTGAATCCATTATCTGCAGGTCCTTTGGAGATACCTATTGTTTTGACCACGAAGTGGACTAATATTAGGTATGCCATATACATTTTTGAATTTTGTTTTCTCCAACTTTTGCACAACCGGAAGGAACAGAGCAATATTTTCTGCCTGTTCCATCTGCTGCCCCTCTCCTTTTTTTTTTTCTGAACAAGTTTCCCCTTTTTGTATAAGATCTAGAGAAAACTCAATTCAAGTTGTGGGAAATTTTATAGCATTAGAGTCTTTCCTCGCGTTGTTTAAGTCAATGTGTCTATTGTGTATAATGCTAACTTATAAGGTTGTTGTTTGGCGTCTGTGTCATCAGGGGCAATGTGTTTAATAAAACTCTTATTCTGCCCATGAGATTGTAAAAACGACTGTTGCTTTCATTGAGGAGCAGTGTAATGATTAAACATTCTTGAAGCTTGTTATAGAATTGTGTTTGTTTTATCTTGTTGTTTTCATTGCTGTTCTGTGCAAATATTATTTTTGGAGAAAAATATAAGGTCTAGCTAGCAGCTATATCAGAGTTATGCGGGACTGTGGAGTGTGCTATCATCATGTTTGGCTGAGTGTTGATTTAACCTTGATGAGCGTCATTGTTGTGTAGTTTAAGTGGCTGAATCAATTTCTGTTATACCATGCGTGTGAATTTAGCTTTTGGTTGGGTGTGCTTTTCTTAAATATGGTCAGGGGTCTGCGTTTGATTATTTTTTCTTCCTTTTGCTAGATGATTTTAAATGTACTGTTTAATGATATTAAAATATGTTATTTCACATGTCAACTACTCCGTATTTCATGGATAATACTCCCTTGGTCAACATAAATCACTCTTAGTCTTTTACTTTATATATCAAAAGTTTATGAAATTTGAATTATTTTTTGCAGGCTTTGTAGCAGTTTTAATGTAGTTTCTGAATATGTAAATTTTATTTTCTAAAACTAATTTGAGTGTTAACAGAGATCAATTTGCTTTAAAGTATCATACAAATTGGGACGGAGAGAGTATAAAACACCAATTGGTTGTCGAAGTTTGAGTTTGTTTGGTAACATTAAAATTAGTTGCATAGGTTAAATCGTTTAATAAACTGAATAGGACCGGGTGGGTTGGCATGGAAACTGATGAACCGGACTCCTAGCCGGTCTGGATAGACACTAGCCCGCAAACATAGGTAAAATTGAAAATACCCGAAGACCTGTCTAGGCCCGGGTGCAACCCGGACCCGCGCAAACCCTCATGTGCCGTGAAAGAGCTGAACAATCATTCCAGCCGACCATTACGCCTTGTTGTGGACACTTGTGGTTAGTCTTGGACCCGGTTCGGGCCGCCCGGTTCTTGGGTCCGGATCCGGGTCGGGCCTAGGCCCGGTGGGGGGGTGGGTCCGGGCTCGGGTCTTATATTTGGCGAACCGCCCTGGCTGGGTCGGGCCTGTGTAGGGGTGGACTCGGGCTGGGCGGCCCGGAACCGGCCCGGCCCGGTTACTGTTTGGCCCGGCCCGGCTCGGGGCCCCGGTGGGTCCACCGGTTCGGTTCGGCCCGGCCTGGCTGCTGGGCGGTTCGGGCTCGGGCCCAGTTTTGGTGAACAGGCTCGGCCGGTTCGGGCCCGGTTCGGGCCGGTTTTTAATTTTTTTTATTTTTTTTTTTGAATTTTTTTTAAGTTTTGTGTTGGATTAGGTATTTTGGGCCATTTGAGGTGGTTTGGGGTTGAGGGGGAGGGGGTTAAATAGAAGAGCCAAAAAAAAAAAAATTAGAACCGGTTAGGCCCGGCCCGGCCCGGTTTGGCCCGGAACCGGAACCAGAACCGCCCACCGGCGGTTCGGGCTCGGGCCCAACTTTCCTGGCCCGAGACCCGGCCGGGCCCAGGCCCGAACCGGGCCCGAACCGGTCCGAGTCCACCCATAGGTCCGGGGTAGTGATGGACCAGGGTCGGGCCAAGGCCCGGTCGGGCCTCGGGTCTGGTAAAGGTAGGCCCGGGACCGGCCCGGGCAATGGCCGGTTCCGGTTCGGGCCGGGCCACCCGGCCGGGTCACGGGTTGGGCCACCCGCCGGGCTTGGCCGGGCCAGTATCTTTTTTTTTTAAAAATTAATTATATATTATACAAATTCCTATTAAAAACAAAGTTCAAGTGCATTTATTTGAAATAGGAACTACATTTGAGAATTGAGAAAAAATTACAATACGAAATACATTTTCTAATGAATATCAATTGGAATTTCCGCCACCGTTGGTTGTTGTTTTCCCTTTGTCACAGGACTTCATATGTTTTATTGGCATCTCGTATCTGTGTGAACGCCTCAAGCAACACTCTTTCTTGCACCACCTTCAAGTTGCCCACCACAGTTCGGTCTTCGGGTCCTTCCACTTGTCAAAATTGTTTTGCATAAGGGAGGATGTACTTTCCATATTTAAAATGGTATATGTATAAGTAGGATTGTAGGAATGTAGGAATGTAGGAATGTAGGAGTGTAGGATAATAATAGAAGATGAAGATGGAGAAGAGTTGGAGAAGAGTTGGAGAAGAGGTGTAGAAAAATGTTAGAAAATAGATGTATTTATAGATGTTTTTGAACCCCACTCCCCACACCACCACCCCCGGGACCCCCTTGCCCCCCACCCATAGCCCCAACGGCTATATAGCCGTTTGGGAGGTTTTATTTCAATTTTTTTTTAAAGTTGTACATATTGGAAAATAAATTAATTAATTTAATGAATTAAGTAAAACTAAAACTATTTGTACTTAGAAAAGTGGTTTGATTTGTAATTTACAAATGTTACAAAATAGGTGTATAAGTATTTAAACAAATTACATATTGTAAATGTATTTTTAATTTAAAAACCGGCTTTATATTTTAGAAAAATAATTTTAAGTCGTTAGTTTGTAACCAATTAATTAATTTGAGAAGTGCTACATATGAAAAAGTGAACGCATATTTATTTGAAATATGAAGTACAAGTTTACAAATTAATTTGAAGTACAACTACAAATTTACAATTTTGAAATATGAAGTACATGTTTACAATTTTGAAATATGAAGTACAAGTATAAATAAATTTGACAAGTGCTACAAAATACATTTTATAATAAATTCTAAAATACTAATCAATCGGAATCTCCGGCATATGTAGAGCCACCATCGGTTGTTGAGTCATCCATAAAATCTTGGGAGGGGGTGATGCTCATTTCTTGAGTTCTACGTGCGGCCTTCAACCAATCGTGGTAGCATATAAGCGTCTCAAGAGACTCCGCGCTTAATCTCGATCTAGATGCCGTTAGGATGTTGCCGGCCGAACTAAATTATTGTTCTACAGCAACTGTTGAAATCGGCATTGATAGTACTTGCTTAGCCATCCGTGCTAAAATCGGGAACGTTCTTTCTTTTGACTTCCACTAGTTTAGAACGTCAAAGTCATCATTTTCTTCAAAATCAACTTCATATGTTAAATACAAAGTAATCTCATTCAATGCACTTTGTTCAGTGACGTGAGTTGTTTTTGTTTTTTTTCATAAGATTGTCAAATGCAGATTTAAAAATCGATTTTCCTTTAGATGAAGATGTTCGTGACGGGGGAGGGGGAGCGTTGCTATATTGTGTACGAAACTCATTAAATAAGGCAAAAAATAAAGCACTAACCTCGTTGTATTCCGTTTTCGGATCTATGGGGTTATCGTCATACATTGGAAATTCACCAAAAAACGCAAGATAATAGAAGTTGAAACAATCTTCCAAATTAGTAAGTCTATAACGAGGATCGAGAATAAATGCAATACCATAAATATGAGGAATATGCGCATAATATTTTAAAAACTTTTCCTTCATATAATCACAAAAATAATGAACGAAAATGGCATTCTCAAATTCTTTAAAAGCACCGGCGAGATTAGCAGCTTCACGAATAAATTGGTTTGCGGTAGGTTTATAAACATGACTAAACGTTTCAGTAGCATTAAAAAAAAATCAAAACATTACAAATTTTTTCGCAAGTGTCGATCTCAGCCGCGTTTATAATATAGTTTTTTTTCCTCCTCCTCCTCTTCCTCCTCCTCCTCCTCCTCCTTTTTGGGGTTCCACCTGGGTTGGGCTTGATGGTTAGGAGGGGTTTTGGGGGGGGGGGGGGGGGTTTAGTAAAGCAAAAAAAAAAAACCAAACCGGCGGCCCGGCCCGGCCCTGGACCGGACCCGGTGGCTACCCGGGCCGGTCCCGGGCTTTCCTTCCCAAAAAAAGCCCGGCCCGGAACTGGAACCGGCCCGACCCGTGTCCATGACTACTTGTGGTGTAGCAGTTCATTACTTCATTGAGCACAGGGAGAACGACGGGGACGACATACGTGCGGCGGAAAAAAATGGGGATGGAACAGAACAACTAACCTAACTAATGACCTGGAAGTTGAAACAATTTACACAAATGTCGGCCGTACCTAGAACATGGTACACCCGGCTGTACCATATATTTTGCCGACACTTTGGAATTGCTATGTTGAATGCCAAATTGATATTTGACTAAGGATGTTTTCTTTTGGACTGTTTTCAGTCTCAGACCAGACCAGACTAGACTTACGTAGTTATAAAATACACAAAAATCAGACGTTTACCAGACCAGACCATCAAATTCCAGTCCAAAAGAAAACATCCTAATGCTTATTACTTTTGAATTGAAATGCAAATGATTACATTTAAAATCTTTTTCACGTTTCTATTACTCCATATGTGTTATGTGAAATATATTAATTATTATATAATATTATGCTTTCATCAATTAATCAATTAGATAAACAATTTAAAAAAATCAGTTTACAATAACGAAGAGAAAATGGTTGCAAATACTCCCACGAGGTTGTCGCAATTGTTGATTATTGTTTGTAGAATTTTAATTTAGCGAAGGGAAAGTGGTCGCAATTACTAATAATAAGTAGTCTCCAATAATATCATTAATGACTGGATTTTTGGTGGTCCCAAAAAGTTTTAGCGACCGCCCACTTTTTCCGGTCGCAAATGACCTTTTGCGGCCGAGCCTATAGGGACGGTTGCGCGACCAGTTTTTACGGTCACAAATAACTATTAGCTCCCACTTTTTTAGTTTTTGCGACCACTTTTCCCTTCGCTGAAAGACCTTTTTCTTGTTGTGGAAGGTTTTTCAGATTATAACCAGGCAAGTTCCACGTTTGGAAACCCAATCATCCAAGGAAAGAAGCCACAATGGACTCTCTCCAAACAGCTTATATATGCCGAGATCAAGATGAAGAAATGTGTGCTTAACAAAGACAAATCTTAAGAGACATATTCACAAAAGCAATATCAAAGTCCTAGTCATCTGAAACTGCTTACTCGGAGTTCTAGATATAGTTCTTTCTTTCCCTTCTTCATATTGTAATGGAGTTTTGAGGATTGGCTAAGTGTAGCATCCTCGGGTTGGTTAGTGTGGTGTGAGAGCTTTGTTGTAAAGCTGAGAGACTCTCTACTCACAAGGTAGAGAAACATAACTCTTCCTAGATATGAAAGAGTTGGGGTGGCTCAATGGTAGACTAGGAAAGTTTCTCTTGTAAATCAAAGACTTTTTGGTGAAGTTGTTAAAATTCCTTCGAGGGAGGTTGATGTTATTTAATCCCTTTGAGCCAAGGGATTTTCTTCGTTAAATCATTGTGCACTTAATTATTTCGTTTCACCCTATACCCCACACTAGAACTTGGTGAAAAACTGCCACGGTTCCACACACACACGATTCACCCCCCTCTTGTCTTACTAATTGTTTCATCATTCGTGTTTAAATACACTTAAGTTCAACAACAAACATAAAATCCCCTTTGTTACTAATTCCATAAAAGAGAAATATCTCTTTCCCTGTGGATACAATCCTTACTACACAATATACTATGTATTAGTGCAAGTATTGAATTTATTTTGAGGCACACAACGACTTTAGTGTTGTCAATGACCATCAGACCATGCATACATTTACCCCAATATATTGGGAATAAAAATTGTTGAAGTCATATGTTAGGGAACTAGTGTTGTTTTAGTCACATGGGAGATAATTTTCTCTATTTTTTAATATACGAAGCTATGTATTTTAAAAGAAGACATGTATCGACAGTGGCGGATCTAGGATTAAAACTTATTGGGGGCAGGGTATTAATAAAATATAATGTGTCAAAAAATTATAGTATTAATATAATATTACAATAACAAAAGGTTTAACAAAATACATGACAAAATTCGCGCCGAGCAAGCTAGTTTTCATCTTTCAGAAGATATCTATTACAGTTTCATTTGTAACACTTTCGTGGGAAGTCATGACCTCGTGGTTGACAAGGTCCTTTAATCAAATATTTTCTCTTCATTTTATCTATTTGTTTACAAGATTTCCTTAAAACTTTCTCATTTTGGAGAAATATGTGGGAAGCTCATCTAAACCGACGTTTTAGATATTGATAGAGAACATTGAGAAGCACTATTAGCAATATTACTGTTTGAACTATCAGGTGTTGGTGAAAGAACGATAACTCAATATATCTTCTTTGAGTCTAGATATAAAAGAAATGAAATTAAGATTACACTTTTATAGTACATTAATTAATTTTAATTAACTACCTAAAATAATATATTATATGCATTTAGGATTTCTAACTTACTACTACCTCCGTCCCCCTAATATTGTGACAAACAAGAGTATACAGTTTTTAAGAAAAGTAGAGTTATGTGGTTGATAATGAATTGATAAAATGAAAATAAGATCCGAATGAATTAGAACCACACAAATCTTATTAAATATGATATAAGACAAATTTAATTAGTGGAACAGACAGAAAAAGAAAAATGAGAAAATTATAGAAATAATTACCCTAGGTATGATTAAAACTTCTTCACTTTCCCAATCTATGACCTAACTAGTTTTTTTACCAAAATAATATTAAAATTAATAAAATTTAAATAAAATTCGTAATAAATAAATAAATAATTTAGGTGGACAAATATACCCTTTAGGTTATATCTATAAAACCCTAAGCTTCAACTCTTTTCTCCTAACCCTAGCCTCCATTCTCACACCTACATACATCCACCCGCCTGCAGCCGCACGCCCTTGCCACCGCCGCCCCATAGCCCGCCATCTGCCGCCGTCTGCTGCCGCCCCATGGCCCGCCGTCCAAGAGCACAATCGTCGGCCACATGTGGTTTCAGGCGCTTGCTTTCTCGGCCACCTCAGCCCCATGCTTGCTCGCCGCAGGCCGCAGCTACCATCTTCCACACCGACGCCACCAGCCCCGCCGTTGTCATTAGATGTGTGGGCCGCCTCCGTTATCCCCAGATGGGTCTTTTTCGTTCCGCTTTCTTTACCCTCTCTCGTTGAAAGTTTTTTTTTAATTAAGAGGAAGATGAGAGCAATTGATGAAAGCTGAAAAGTCGGACCACTCATGCTTGGGTCCGCGTGCTTCTAATGCAAGATGAGATGGGTTACGTGAAGATGAGTTTGTACCATCAAATATGATTTCTAAAATTAGGGTTTGTGGCATTAAATATGGGAAGTGAATGTGGCAATATATATGTTGTAGATGACATTATATATGATGTACATGACAGTGAATGAATGCATTAAAAAAGTTTGTTGTGCAGTGATTATGAACGGTAGTGCAGTAACATAAAACAGTAATTTCGCCATGAAACACAATATACTTAATTAGATGTAAAGTAATAAAATTATTAAATCTAAAACAAACTATAAATAAATTCGTAAAGTGAATGAGAAGAGAATTAATTTTGGCGGAAGTGCATTGATTATTACCGCATGTGTAGTAATAGCGTGCAGTAACGACAATATAAAGTGCAGTAATTTTAATTGGGAAAAATTGGTGCAAAATGCACATATTTTAAATAAGAGTATTTTTGTCATTCAACATTTAAATATAAATGATTTGTTTTTTTTACTTTCGGTCATACAAATGTCAATAAACTAAGTTAGTCATATTTAGGAAAACTCATTGAGTTTTAGTCATATCCTAGGAAATTTTCCAAAATTATAATGGGTCAGAGGGAGTAAATGACATTTTCTATTTTCTAATAGTGTAAGCATTACATTTATCAAAAAAAAAAAATAGTGTAAACATTACACCAAGTTAAATCAATAACATTAAATCTAATGGATCCTTTTGAAAAATTTATATCTAATTGATGTTTTTTTAATTGATGTAAATCAATACTCCTATAATACATTAATAACATTATTATAAGTATAAAATTGTACGCCCTCCTCCGTCCCATAAAATAGTCCCCGCATTGACTTGAATCGGAGTTTAAGAAAGTGGAAATGTTTGATTGTGGTTGTGTAAGAAAAATGTAAATGAATGTGAGCCACACAAGACTTTCCAAAAGGGAAATTGGAACTATTTTTTGGGACGGCCCAAAAAGGAAACCGGGAACTATTTTATTAATTTAAATGGTAAAAAATAAACATAAAGTGAAGATGTTTATACTTTTACATCCACTAGTAAATTCACCCGTGCGATGCACGGTCGGAGAATTTTTCTTCAAATTTATTTGTGCTCACTAATACATAACTACATACGGTTGGTGAATTTTCCTAAAAATTTACATAACTACATAATACATACCATTGAAAGAGTCTCACGTTAGAGGATTTGTGTTGAACACTCGTGGATGCACGGTTGGTAAAATTTCACAGGTGTAGTTAATTTTAATCAAATTTAACAATTGTCTGGAGTTATGCTATATAAAGTTTTTATAGTAGGTATCACACATTATAAATGTACTTTGAAAATACATTGCATTTCATGCCAAATGATTTGAAACACTTTTCATACACAACATTCTCGATTTCAGTGTTCGTTCCCATGTCCTCATTTGGAATGTGTTTTTTTACGCTCGTTGATTGGTTACTATTGATCCAACCACATAAAGTTGAATATGACTAAAAAAGGCATTTTCAACAAAAAACTAATGCTAACATGTGAATAAATGCTTATGAATTAACATCTTTTACCCGCACTAACCTATCTCGCAAATGATATTGACAATTTTTGTTTCCATTTTCAAGGGTTTATATATATTATTGAAGGTAAATTATTTATAATGATTAAGTAATAAGGTGACTATAAATTTACACGAATTGCTTTTTTAGATGAATTGTCTCTCTAAATAGGTAAAATAAGGGAGTGCAGATATAAATGTATTATGTCATTCTTAAACTATTCTCGAATCTAAATTTGTGAGAAAGTAGGTGCTTCTACTATTTCTAATATCAAAGTACGATCTAGTCTGATTTGGTTTGAGACTAAAATATATAAATCATCCAAGTAAGAACATCCCAAATAATAAGGTGACTATGCATTTATACGAATTGCATTATTTACACGAATTGTCAATGTAAATGGCAAATTAGGGGGTGTGCAAATATGAGAAAGTGTGTTATGTCATTATTAAACAATACTTGAATATTAATTTGTGAGAAAATGCTAGTTGAGTCCGTACACGAAAAAGTAATGGAAGAAGTCCATCAAAATTGTATTTTTTTGGGATTTCTTTTTCTTTTTACTATTTCTCTTGGTGTTGAGAGTTTTGAGCGGCAGCTTCCTCACCAAGAATTCTTTTGCTTTTATATTAGATGAATAGATTGTTGTCTTTGGAATCAGAATGACAATCTGACATCGAAAGGTGATAATGAAAATCTTGAAATTAGAATCTCTTACCCGTACGTGCTGAATCTACTGAGAATTTTACTTCTACAAAATACGTCAATTTTGATTTTAATAGTAGAATTATGTGATAGTAAAAATAAGAAAAGTTGAAATTCCTTTTCTGGATGAATTAGATTAAGTTACTCTAGAGAACCGTTGTAGCTGTATATTTTTCATTCATCAATTTTTTCTCGATTTTATTCTTAAGATATATTTTAAGTATTATGTTTCCATTATTTGGAAGATTCAACCAATTCAACCGTTTTATCCACAATTTCATCAAGTTAGCAGATTCAATTGATTTAGTCAATTTTATTATTACCAAACAGACTCAAAGTGTAATGAGATGAAATGCTCTACTTTTTATAAATTTATATTATTATTTCCAATATAATCTAAAGAATACGGAGTATTTTGAACATATTAAGGATGTTTTTACTTGGACTGTAATTCGTCCCAGACCAAGATCAGATCAGACCAGATCAGACCAGACCAGACTTGGATAGTTATAAAAATACAAAGATTCCAGACCAGACCAGACCAGCAAATTACAGTGTAAGTAAAAACATCCTAAAAGACATTAAGAATATGGACTTCGTACATTTTTACGTGCACTTACGACGGCCCATATCAAAATATGTTAAGTCGAAAAAATAAAGTCCAAATGAAAGTCGAAAAATTCGGGCTTGCTAATGATTCCTAATAATCCTAAAGTAGCTCTATCTTGGAGAAAACTAACATCTTTAATTGAGTTGAGATACACCCTAGATGCTTTCTACTATTTTAACTACTTTTTTTTTTGAACAATGTACTATTTTAACTATTGAATCCCCTCAATTCTTAATAAAAAAAAGTGTAATATACTTGCATGGACTCACAATTATATATGCTTTAAACTTAGGAAAACATTTACCCTGTATACAGTATAAACTTATTCAACAAACAATTTCTACAAACATTTACCCTTTAAACTTAGGAAAACATGTACTTATTCATTTCGCTCTTATACTTATTATGAGCATTCATGCTGGTTAATAATTGATAATTTTGGAAGTTACTGATAATCAAAATCAACGAACTTAGACTTCATAAAATGATCAAGTTGCTTGCTTTCCTGTATTTATTTCATTCTTGCCTGTAGGGCTTTAGTGCCCAGAAGTAATGGTGGGGAATGTTTTCCAATTTCATTGCACAAAGTACTTTGGATGAAGACATTACATTCCTACGATATGGATGCATAATAGCTGATAATGCCACTGTGATTGGGGAAGAGGTGGCAACACTCTGCATAATAGCTGATAATGCCACTGTGATAAGGCCACATGCCCTTGCTTTGGTGACTTCATTTGGCATATACCTGATGCTTTCTTAGGCCCGATAGCTTTTGATTGGGTTGATGCCAATGCTTGGTCTTAACGGCTCTAAGGACACCTCGTTTCTTCACTCCACATGAGATAAAGTAAAATGAGAACATATGGAGTCAATTCTCCCTTGCTCTATTCAACCGTATGTGTCCCATATATATACAACCAAGTGTCCTTAAATATCTCCTCTAAATAAGCTAATTTGCTAACTATAAAGATGCCTATGATATGCTACGGTTTACAGTTTATATATGGAATAGATTTGTAGTATATTCTAGAAGAAATAAACCAAAATATATACAAAATATATTCCCCTAATACCCCCCTCAAGTTGGAGCATGAAGATTGTGAATGCCCAACTTGGCAAGTAAGAAATGGAAAGATCGACGACCAAGGGCCTTTGTCAGAATATCAGCCAACTGCAAAGAAGTAGGGGTATAAACAGGAGCAATTGTATGACGGATAATTTCATCACGAACAAAATGACAGTCGATATCGATGTGTTTAGTACGCTCGTGAAAGATAGGATTATTGGAGATATGTATCGCCGCTTGACTGTCACAATGCAAGGAAACAGGTGAGGAATGTGAAATACCCAAGCATTGTAATAAACCTTTCAACCACAGGATTTCACAAGTTGCAGAAGCCATTGCCCTATATTCCGCCTCGGCAGACGAACGTGATACGGTGGCTTGCTTCTTTGTTTTCCATGAAATAGGAGATCCCCCAAGGAACACAAAATAGGCAGTAAGAGAACGTCTACTCAAGGGACAACTGGCCCAATCAGCATCACAGTAAGCACGCAAAGAAAGCTCGGAATCAGCTCTCAATAAAATACCCTGTCCAGGACTAGACTTCAAGTAACGAACAACACGAAGCGCTGAATCCCACTGAGACCGGGTCGGATGCTGCATAAATTGGGACAAAATGTGAACTGAATAACATAAATCGGGTCGAGTAATAGTCAAGTAAATTAACCGACCAACAAGTCGTCTATATTTGGCGGGATCATCCAACGGTTCATCGGAAGCAAGAGCTAAAGAATGATTTTCTTCCATAGGAATACTGGCGGGTTTGGCGCCCAGAAGCCCTGTCTCAGATAAAATATCCAACGCATATTTTCGTTGACATAGAAAAATGCCTGCGGAGCTTCGGGCAACTTCTAGGCCAAGAAAAAGTTTAAGCTTGCCCAAATCTTTCATATGAAAACATGTACCGAGATAAGTTTTGAATTTCACGATAAAATCACTATCATTACCAGCAATGACAAGATCATCAACATAAATAAGAATACTCATCGAAATGGGACCGCGGCGGTAAACAAACAAAGAATGATCATAATTGCTATTTTGAAAACCATAAGAGCGCAAAGCC